GGCGCGTGGCCGGATTCCAGCTTAAGCCTCGTCAGACATCACCGCTGACCACCAAAGCGCTGCAGAATGTTTTTGTGTTGGTATTGACCCACGGGGCCCGTGGCTAATTCAGCGAGTGGGTTGAGGCACACACCGACTCGTGACTACTGCCGCCAAGGTCGTGGCTCTCCCTGCACGGCAGCGTCCACAATGGGGGTCATCTTCTTAACCCCCCCCCTCCGCCTCTGTTCACCCGGTAGTCTAAATGGGGTTAGTCGATTGATAGGTGCTGGTTATAGTGGGGTGAAATGTGAGCGACTCCCACTTCGACCAAGACGCCAACGTAGAAGACGAAGAATGGCTAGAGGAAGCCATTTCGCCAGCTGTGCCACAGGCAGGCAATTTCTGTTACGGTCTTTAAGGCCCTCCGTGCGCGCTCTCTCTCTCTGAGTTGTTGCCATCGATGGCTTCGTGTTTCAGTGTCGCGTGACGGAGACGCCGCTCTGTTGGCGAGGCACGGGGGAGCGAGCGTGTTGAGAAATGCGCGCCAGGTGCGAAAGCGCCACACTGCCAGGTAGCAGCAGCAGCAGCATACTCAGGTATCCCAATTATAACCGCACCTGGCCTGCAAGAGATGCCAAGCGATACGTTGGACAAACAGCACGCCAGATGACCCGTGAGAAGAGAGGAAGCCTACAAACAACTCGCATGGAATGCCCCCCGTCCCCCGCCAGACCTCGGCAACCACGGGGACCCTCCCGGTGCAGTCGTCCAGCTCCACCACCATGAGCCCGCATTGGCCAGCGGGGTGAAGTATGGTCAAACGACCCTCGCTGCTTACACGGCGTGGGGGGGGGGGGACTCTCATCTAGCAGTGGATTTGGTTGACGACAAGACGTGGGCGCGACCTTCAGCGTGGAATCCCCTGGACTCAAAGTAAACTAATCTGGACGTCATCGTGGAGCGGTGGCGCAGTGGTTAGCACATTGTGTGTGTGAGTGTGGGGAGCGGTGGCCCAGTGGTTAGCACATTGTGTGTAAGTGTGGGGAGCGGTGATGCAGCGGTTAGCCGCACTCCGGTGCTCGATTCCCAGGCAACGGCGAACGTCAGTGGTGTCGAGGCTGCTGCCCCCCGCCTCCCCGTTCTGCTGCGACCCACCGCTCTCCGACTCTCCCCCCCTCGCTGCTGCCCCTCGTGGCATGATGTAAATGGCTGTACTAACCACCTTGCGAATGTGCCGCTGTGCCCCTCTCGTACACGCTAACCACGAGCTGCGCAGTGGCGAGAGTCCCCACGTGGGTAGAACACACGGGACACCACAACGCGCGGGCTCACAAGTTAACGTGCGTGGCGAGCGTGCACGCGCGGGCAAAATATACGCTCGTGCAAAAACGCAGAAAACCACAACGAACAGGCTCACAACACCAGGCACCCCCTCCGACACGATTTAATGTCTACTGGCGATTTATTCTCCGCTTAATGAAGTTAATCTACTCGTGTCAGTGTGGGTCGGCAGGGCAGGTCTAACCTATCTCCCAGCGGTCTAGGACTCAATTTGTCCCGTCTCTCCCTACTCACTCTCCTCAACGGATATTCCCTCTTGGCCTTACCTCTCTCCGTACTTACGATCCACTCTCGAGGTGTAGGTAGTCGCAGAGAGGCGAGGCTGCACGTGGCTTTGGCTGGGAACTGGACGTGGCTGCTCTGCGACCCGTCTCACGGACGTTCGAGTAGCAGGAAACGATGACTCCTCGGTCCCTCACTCCAGAAGACCCCGAACACAAAGAGGCCTTGCTCCTGATTTTCGTCCCTTTTTATCCCTCTACTTCAAAGCTAATGCGCCGCGAACCCGCTGGCCCCTCGTCCAATCCGGAGCCTCGGATTTTCCGCTCTTGGCCAATCGGATTAGCCCCCCTCTCCGACGCCCGCCCCCCATTGTTTACCCAAGTGCACGGCCGAGAGGTCCTTGTCCTCCTGTACCGCCCTGGCACCACACGTGGTGCAAGGGCGAGGTCCCTGCACATGTTGTGCGGAGACGAGGCCCCCCCCCCCCACTGTCTTCCTGTCGGTCGCTACTTTGTCCCCCCCCCTACCCACCTGCGTGTCGAGTGTGGATGCTTTCTACCTGCGGTGGCTTCAGCAGCCCCCGTCGTGACCATGTAATTACCACTCAGGTCACGGCACCGCGGTGCACGCCAGCCTCGGGGGAGGTCGCGCAATCCCCTGGTCGCAGGAGACAGTGAAGCTTCGTCCCATAAGGGGGCTTCTGGGTGAAAACCTGCTGGCCAGGTGACCTATGTGGGGGGTGGTGTGTGTGTGTGTGTTCAGGGGCGGAGCCAGGGGGGGTGACAGGGGTGACATTCTGCGTGTAAGTGTACAACACTCGGTCTGGCGGACTCCGTGCAACTGCATTGTCAGAGCGTGTCGCCAACCGATGGCGTCTACTAGTTCAACAGCCTGACTCTCTCTAAATCATTCTTGACATTAACATTTGTTGAATGTCACCCCGGCCTGAGATCCTGGCTCCGCCCCTGTCAGTGTGTTCATGTGGGGGGTGGTGTGGGAGGCGCTGTGACGGAAGCCGGGTGGCTTCTCAGCCCCCCCGCCGCAGGGACGGCTCCCACGGAGCGGCTTCGCTGTCCTGGCACCAGTGGCGAGCGACGTGTGAGCCGGCCCGCACTAGACCAGCGTGGTGAAGTATGGCCGAGCAGTGCTCACCGCCCGTCATGGGTTAACGAGCGAGCCGTGCGTGTACCGTAAGTGTACACGGAGGTACAAAAGTCAAGAGCCGTACGCATCAGCATTGTAACTTTAATAGAAAACGTTCAAGGCCAGACTGATATATATCACTGATTTATTTCGTGTGGACATTGTCATTGTTACATTGTGGGTATATATTCACACATATACACATATATGGGTGGGAGTAGTGGCGCAGTAGTTAGCGCACCACGCTATGAACCCGGCGACCTGAGCTCGATCCCCAGCCACGGATAACATCAGTGGCGAGTGACATCTAAACCCTTGACACCAACCCGTTACTGAACGGAATGGTGAAGTATGGTCAAACAAGCCCCACACGACAGGCGTCGCGTGGGGAAGCCTTCATCCAATCACAGATCGACAAAGCGCCCTAAGTTATTATGATGATGATGAGTATGATGATTATGAGTATGATGATGATGATGAGTATGATGATATAACCATACAGAGACACGTGCTAAATGTATGCTACCGTCGGCGTGTATATTGTATCATTTGGCTTTGCCTGCATTCACATCGAGGCGAGTTATGCTTATTAACCGTACACAAACCCTGTGCGTGGATATGGTGTGCGCTGCGCTTAATACTCACATCGCACACAAGGTGCGTGCACCGACGCGTATTCAATCAATGTGCACATTGCAGGGGTGTGCTAATTACAAGATATTTGAGCACGCGTACATCCTTCGTGCTGAATAAGAAGAGCCAATCAAAGGGGTTCACAATACTGCTGGCAGGGCCGTCCATGGGGGGGGGGGGGGGGGGGGGGAGTCTCACATCTGACGCCACCGTGACGTCAAAGCGCCAGGCTCCGCAAGGTGCGGGGCCCGGGTCAGTCGCCCCGATTCGCCGTGCACTCTCGGGACGGCTCTGCATGTTGCTCTTCACTGATTGGGGTGTAAGCAGGTAAAGCAGTGGCGGTGCCTACTGTGAACCCGGGCACCTGAGATCAATTCCCAGCCGAGGCCAACTCAGTGACGAGTGATATTCGAACCGACCGCCCTTACCCATTCCCTCCCCAAATCCCGTGTTGACCAGCGTGATTAAGTATGGTCAAATAAACCCTCCAAGACTGACGCGCCGGGAGGGCTCCAATTCAGCAGCGGAGTGACACACGGCCGTCTTAACCAGTCTCACTTCAGTGCCAATGAGCGCGAGTGTGCGCGCGCGTGCTTTCTAACGTCCAATCTCCCCGACATGAACACGACTTGGCCAACAACAACAACACTAAGAGGCGGCGACGACTCCGCGGTGCTTGTGCCAGGCCATGTGCACTGTGGGGCCACGTGAAAGTGTCGAAGGCCCGCTGGCAGAAGGTCACGGGGTAGACCCAGGTGGTGCTATGGGTGACTGAGATGAAAGGCCACACACACTGACACACACACACTGACACACACACGCGCACACACACACACACACGCGCAGACAGACGTGCACACACACACGCGCGCAGACGGGTGAGTACAACAATGCACGTAGCTCTTCGAGTCCTCAAACTCCAAACATTGCACGTCAACAGATTAGACAACGACCTTGCGAACAATATTCAACGGGCAGTTAGCCCACGTGTTAAAGTGATGCAGTTAGCAACTGAATCCGAGAGCACTGGCTGAGCGACATGGGAATAAGAGAAACGCTGGCTCCATATTATATATGGTGGCTGTGGTTGTTGTTGTTGTTGCTCTGTGTACGCTCACGACTCGGCAGTTTGCTTGTCACTCTTCGGTTGGGTTCGCACAATCGCCCTGCACTTTCTCACGTGAAACATTTTGAATGGCTCTTTTTATTTTGCTGTTTCCCCATTGTATAGAGTGATTGCTTTATCGCCGTCATTTGAAGAGATTATGATTAATCGATAAGCACGTTGTCATAGAATTGGTCTGAAATATGACGTTCCAAAACGACTTCTGGAGTATTCTCTTGATGTGCCATAGGGCCCATCGTGGCGCCTCGTAATGCCCTGCTGAGATTGTGCATCGCAATGTCAACGCAAGCAGCGCGGTTAAGTCCCAGAGCTGCAAAAAGGCAAATTAAGTGAAAACCAAAATTGAATCTAATGGGATTTTTGTGCGGTCGTTGGCTATAAGCCTGCGACGAATGGTGATGTTTCTTAAAAATCGCATTCCTTCTACCTCGTCAAGGCTACACTTGTGTCAGTACGTTCCACTGTAGTGTGATTGAACTGATATCACACAAAACGGAAGAGTTTACGGCATTTGTATTGCTTGGCAATTGGTGTCCTGTTCATTTGCTGTACCTCCTCCTCTGTTTGGCTTTTGGAGCCTGGGTCTCCCTTGAAAATGGGATTGCACCGGTTTCAATGGGATTACACCTCTCTCAATGGGATTGCACCTCTCTCAATGGGATTGCACCTCTCTCAATGAGATGTCACCTCTCTCAATGGGATTACACTTCTCTCAATGGGATTGCACCTCTCTCAATGGGATTGCACCTCTCTGAATGAGATTTCACCTCTCTCAATGGGATTGCACCTCTCTCAATGGGATTGCACCTCTCTCAATGAGATTTCACCTCTCTCAATGGGATTGCACCCTGGTGAGAAAGACCAGCTACTCGCTTCAGTAAATTATCAGAGTGCACTGTCAACTGTGGATTCCACGTGAAGACCCTGTGCCATTGTTATTATGAATAAAATTACTCTTTGGTTATTTCGGTAAAGTAACGTAGAAAATAAAATAATAATAGAATACGACGTTTCGGTTGCAACACAAGCAACCATCATTAAGTAAGAATGAATGATAAACACAGACACAGGACAGCATAGGCAGACACACATGTAGAGAGAGACACACAAAGACACACCGAGCGAGACACTGTGTGTCTTTGTGTGTCTCTCTCTGCATGTGTGTCTGCCTATGCTGTCCCGTGTATGTGTTTATCATTCATTCTTAGATTAATGATGGTTGCTTGTGTTGCAACCGAAACGTCGTGATTTAATTTAGTTGTTTTCATTTATTTTATTTTTTACCTACGTGACTTTACCGAAAGAACCAAAGAGTAATTCCTGCAGTCACGAAAGCTTCGAATCTAGTTTGAATAAAATTAGTTAATAAAGTAGTTATTATAATGAAAGTAGTTAATCTTGCGAATGTATTGAACCGATGGCCATATTTAAAAGGGATGGCGACGAAATTGTGAACTCGCTGTATTTTAATTGCGGCCACGCGAAGAATGGATCTGACGTGGCACTCTTGATGTAGAATTGTATAAAATGTCATGAAGTGTGTTTCGTTCCCAATCCCAACCTGGTTAGGTATAAATGCTCTTTCTTACGAAATAAGCATCATCACAAACACGTGGCACATGAAAAGACAAGTAATCAATAACATTGTTCAAATGTGTGACTAAGGCGTCTTGTTGAATGTCTGTGCTACGACACAACGCACATTGGCGACTACCGTACCTCACTCACGGCCACGCAACGTACAATTTTATCATTTGCACGGGAGGATATTCGCGATTTTTAGAGCCTAACAGCTCGTCTCTCATCCAGTTATTCGCGTTATTTCACGTTTACCAATCGAGCATTGCGCGCCGCCGATTTGCAAAGAGAACAATCGAATTGGAACGTCAGTGATGAGATAACGGCGGTGATGGTCGACACGAGAGGACGAGGCTTCAGACAATGCCCGTCGCACCGGAGTAGCGGCGCTGCCTTCTTTTGTTTCCGTCCCATGAATCCGTTAATTAGATAATGACCGAACATCCTTCATGGCTGTGCGCGCGCTACTTGACAGATGCGAGAGAATGGACTGCCAGGGTAATTCCCTGATTTCCGACGGTGTCCCATGAATCTTCACATCGTATCTTAAGGCTCTGGACACTGTCTGTCTTCTCTAAGGCAATTGCCCTGTCTTCGTTCGTGTCAATGAATCTGTAAATCGGACCACGGCCGAACGCAATTCACAGCGATACGTTGCTCGCTGGACGCGAAAAGCCGGCAGCTCCCACCGATCCAGGGAGTTTCGACATTTCCCGTGAATCTCTCTCCCCGCGCCGTGCCCCCATGCATTACACGCGCCCACAGAAGGCATTGCTGTGTATTCATGATGCTTGTATTTAGACAGGAGAGTTAGCTGCATGGGGACAACGGATAGTTACGTGATGTCGTCATGAGCGAGTGTCGTACAAGAGACTGGGTCGCCGTCCACTCTGACCATTGATTTCACGGGGAATGGAAGGGCCAGTGCACATCGGAGGTGTTGCAGGGAGCGGACGGGCTACTTTGCAGGCAGCAGGGGGCAGTGCAACAAAAATAATGCGCGTGGACCAGCGTGGTGAAGTATGGTCAAACGACCCCCCCTTCCGCCGCGACCGGCACGGTGTGGGGAAGCCCTCATCCAGCGTGCACCATCATGATGATGATGATGCCCCAACTTGCGGAATGTAACTCTGCATGAAGTGACTCGATTGCAATAACCCCGGGTGGCTAAGTACGCGCGCGTGCACGTTGAAGGTCTTTCGCACCGTACGTAGCCAACCGTGCTCATCGGTGGTGCGGCCTCCACGCATCCGGAGGGTGCGAGGTTGGTTTGGTCGCCCCGGAGAGCCGAACCGTGGCGAAGGGTGCGGGTTCAGCGAGCTGGGGCGTCCGGGCGCGCGTGGTGTGCGTGCGTGTTTTGTTTGGCCACGAGATGAATATGAGATGGAAGGGAATGGTTTATTGATTGAGATGAGCTCGCCCATTACCAGAGCGTCCCCGGGCGCTCTAAGTGGCGGGTTGCGCTGCTACACGCTCACGGATTGTCAATGCTAACCGCGCGGTTAATGCCGGGGCTTGATTTCAGCCGGAGCTGTGCGGCATCTGAGCTCCTGTAAATGCACCCCGTGAGAAATGAAGCCCCGGTGAGTGCGGACCGGGAGGGGGCAGTCAGGGAGCAGGACTTGTCAGCGCTGTCCCCATCAACTCGACTCATCGAAACCCATCGTTAAACGCTGCACGCACCTGATGATTGCAAAGCACACCTCCAGTTTACACGTGCATACCATATACAGTATATAGAGCGAGCTTACTCCGAATCAGCCCTCTCTGATACATACTCACTCGACTCGGGACGATTGACAAACACCCATTGTCGGTGTAGCCGGTGTCGACTGGTGGGGCCAATGCGGTGAGCAAATGCGTGAAGTTATTTGGCGATGCTGCGTTGGCACACACAACAACAACAACAACTCAACACATTCGTTCATATTACCGTTGTCTTAAAATGTAATATATAATAGGAGGCGTTTCAGGCAATGGGCCTTCTTCATTTATGTGCTATGAACAAGAGCCATTGCCCAACATATCGCGTGTTTAATACATATACATCCTTTTAAGTCCGCACTGTTATTAACGAATGTGTTGATTTAAAAACAAAATATGTATCAGGTTTCATCAGTTATCTGCGCCGAGTGTGACAAAAAAAGGCAAAGGCACAGATCCCCATTATAGACTTAACATACTTTTGGGGCAAGTGCTGTTCGCAAGCATTTATGATTCGGATAATGAATGGGTGGCCAGCACCACGCCCGACCGACTTTGTCCCCCAGGTGTCAATGTTTACACATCGCATGAGCAGGAATTGAACTCGGGACAACGGGTTCGTAGCGCAGCGCCCTAACCGCTGCGCCACCGCTCCCCACCTATATACACACCCACACACACACGATCTCTATCTTAAGTCTGAATGGGCGCCGTACGTAACGGGACACGTGTTTAGCAATCATCGGGCGCGTGCTGCGTGCAACGACTTAATTTACATTCTCACGTCGAAAGAAGTGGGCACAAGGACTCCTCAGCGGCGTTCTACTCCGTCGTGTTGTGCCGCGAGGACTGCGCTCGTCTGGACAACACCGCCCCATCGCCCCCTGCCGCGTTACAGAACGCGCGGTCACTCACAGCGGGAGCGGTGGCGTCGTTCTTTGTGAGCGCACGGACCCCTCTCGGTGTTGCCACCTCTCCGCGGCTTTAACAATGAACCCTTTCAGACGCGAATCCATCACTGAATCGACACTGGCAGCATCCTCCTGCCACTGCCGCCTGTGGGTACAGCGCGGGCAGCAGTCGCAGCCACGTGGGGCAGCAGCAGCAGGAGCCACGTGGGGCAGCAGCAGGAGCCACGTGGGGCAGCAGCAGCAGGAGCCACGTGGGGCAGCAGCAGGAGCCACGTGGGGCAGCAGCAGCAGCAGGAGCCACGTGGGGCAGCAGCAGCAGGAGCCACGTGGGGCAGCAGCAGCAGGAGCCACGTGGGGCAGCAGCAGCAGGAGCCACGTGGGGCAGCAGAAGCCACGTGGGGCAGCAGCAGCAGGAGCCACGTGGGGCAGCAGCAGCAGGAGCCACGTGGGGCAGCAGCAGCAGGAGCCACGTGGGGCAGCAGCAGCAGGAGCCACGTGGCTGCTGCTGCTGTCCACCGCTCGCACGCGGCGCCCTTCTCGCGCCAGGCCGCGCACCACTCCCGCGCGGGCGCTGCGGACGAATCCGTGGCCGTGACGGCGGCTCGCTCCGTCTCGGCGTCGTCTCGGCGTCAAAGCAACGCCGCTTCGCCGTTCCCTCGGCTCGGCGGTGGCATGAACATTCGCGCGCGTCCTCATGACGCGTCGGGTAGCTGTGCCCTTCCACCGGTGATTCCTGCTCCATCTGCATGCTTCGCCAATCATTATTTAGTTTCAATTAAATCTGGCTATCGGCTGATGACGCTAGTTGTAATTACTGACGAAGTCGTACTCAGATTGTAAATGTTGTGGCAACACACAACCGGAGTGCTGTACTCGTGACGAATTGGCACGTTCTGCTTACGCGACAACCCTTACTAGTTAGCTGTGTCGGGTGGTGGCGGGTTTAACGGCACATTTATATTTAGGCAATCTAACTAAAAAAAAAACCTCTTATGGATATTATTAATTATGTTTGTAAAGTGAGTCGGTGTGGGAACAGAAGCTGCAACTGCACTTACGAGGGGGGAATCGCTTGCAATGCCCCGCTGCACGTAGGCGGCCTCGCGAGGCAACTTAGCTGTCCAGCCAGCTCCCTGTCAAGCCCCTACCCACCTCAAATCCCTAGGTGATCCACCAACCCCTTGGCCTGCAAAACGCTGGATTTACAGGCACGTGTGCGCCAGCACAGACATACGCCTTCCGTAACACACACACACACCACACACACACACCACACACACCACACACACCACACACCGTTAACTCGTCACATTCGTCATGAACACAGCCGTATGCCAGAAGAAGAGTGTACACGGCAGGCTGACGTTTCGGGACAGCCCCAATCAGTGACCATTGGCCAACACGCAAGTCGGTCCAGTGTACACACTCCACTGCGCACTCTCCCTCACGAGGCTGCTGCTGATGAATGCGCGAAGTACGTCGCGATGCGCGCCTCGCCACCACCACCACCACCACGATGTCACTGTTTGTTGAACGCGCGGGCTGCGTGCGCGCTAGGCGGCAGCCGGCGGTGCGAGTGGCACAGCGGCCCTCTGGGGAGAGTTCAGCACTCGCGCACGGTCGTGGCGTCCGAGTACACGGAGCTCGCCGACTCCGAGTCGGATTTGATGCGCACGAGGAGGCGCGCCCCCGCGCTGCCGTTGTGCGACGCGGCCGCCGGCTCCCGGAAGGCCACGTGCTTGGCCCCGGTGCCGGGACACGAACTCCCCGGCCCCAGCAACACCGAGTGGCCGGGGGCCCGGCTGTTGGTGGCGTGCGACGACATTCGGCCTCCACCGGCGACCGCGCCGCCACCACCGCTGACATCGGCGTGCATCGAGTGGCCAAATTGACAACAGTCACCGCCGCCGTCACCACCACCACCGCCACCATGACTGCACGGACCACAGCAGCCAGCAGTAGCAGCAGCGTCGTCATAGTCGTGCCCGCAGCAGCGCAAGCACAAGCAGCTGTAGCAGCAGTAGCTGCAGCTGTTGCAGCAGCGCGGTCGCGACTGGGGGTGCTCGCGCCTGCGGTGCTGCGCGTGTCGCCTGCAGCCGCAGGGCGTCAGGTAAAGGTACACGAGCACCATGAGCAGCGTGGCGCTGCACGCGATGAGGGTGGTGAGGCCCGTGCTGAAGCTCTCGGGCGGCGGGGTGTCCATCACGGTGACGTTCACCGTCACCGAGTCGTTGATGCGGAGGCGCGCGTTCCACGCCCGGCACGTGTACTCGCCTGACAGCTTCTCGGGCTCCAGGGCGCGGATTTCCAGAGCTCCCCCCGGTAGGATGCGGACCGAGTCGAGCGTGCGGGAGGGCGTGAGCCACTCGTACTCGGTGCCGCTCTGGCCCACGACCAGGACGTCGCACGGGATGGTGAGCACGTCGGTGAGGTGCGCTCTGTAGGAGGCGCGGAAAACGTCGCCGCCGGTTTGGGAGCAGCCCAGCTCCTCGGGGCGAGCTTGCAGGAGGTCGATGGCGGTCGTGGCGAGCGCCGTGGCGTTGGCCGCGGCCCGTCTGGCGCAGCGCATCTCCCCGTCCGCGAACTCGGTGACCGAGCGGAAGCGTCTCCTGCGCCACGAGGCGAGCAGCAGATAGAGCTGGCACTCGCACTCCAGCGGGTTCCCGTGCAAGAGCAGCCCGTCCCGCAGAGGAGCCGGCAGCGCGTTCAGCTCCTGCACGGGCACGGAGGCGACGCGGTTGAAGGAGACGTCGAAGAGCGACAGCCGACCCATGGACACCAGGGTGTCCGCGGGCACGCGGAGCAGCGCGTTGTGGCTCAAGTAGACGGCGCGCAGCAGCGGGCTGTGCGTGAAGGCCGCCGCGTTGAGCCGCGAGATGGAGTTGTTGTAGAGCAGCAGCACCTCCAGGGCCGGTAGCCCCTCCAGCGTGTCCGCCTCCAGCGAGCCCAGCCGGTTGGAGGAGAGGTCCAGGTGCTGCAGATGCCCCATCGGGCTGAACGCCCCCTGCGCTATGAAGTTGAGCCGGCAGTGAGCCACGCTGAGCCGGCTGAGAGCCGCCGAGCCCGACAGCCAGCCAGGCTGCAGCTTCTGCAGGAGGTTGTGGCTCAGGTCCAGCACGCTGGCGTAGCGAGGCAAGGAGACGCTGCCCGGACGCAAGGAGGCGATGGCTCGGCCACTGCAGTCCACCACCTCCCCCGCGCAGGTGCAGGGAGCCGGGCAGGAGCGAGGTGCTGCCGCGTGGCTGCTCCGGCACGCGAGGAGAGCGACCGCGGTGGCCAGGCTGGGCAGCAGCAGGAGTAGGAGCATCGCGGCCGATCTCTGCCCCGGTGGAGCAAGCCGGCAGGTGGCTGCTGCTGGAGCGTGTTAAGCGAGCCTACGCAGGTGAGTGATGGAGTGTGTTGACAGACCTCGGCAGAGTCTATCGCGGGCTTCGGAGTAGAGACGACGAGGAGCTCGACTGCTGTGCGCTTCGACCGTCTGGGGCGACACAACTCGCGGGGATCTTCACGGTGGCTGAGCAATCACAAAGAGGGACACAGCGATGCAGGTGAGACACGTTGACCATCCTCGACAGACACCCTAGAGCGAGTCCACAGAGACCACGATATGCCACGATATCAGCTGGCATCCAGTGATGTGTATTACCCAGTCGAGCAGTTGGCCGGCGTTATCTGTTTCTCCATATCGTATGCGCAGCTTGCTTTAAACAGTACGGGCTACGTAATGTGGTTTCGGGCACGTGTTTAGAAGATATGAGGATGATGCAGCCACGTATCGGGGTTGTTGAGCTTCCTCCGGGACAGGGCAGGGATCAGCAGAGGAAGGCCGAGGGAGGGTGAGATGGTGGTGGTGGTGGGATGGGGGTGGCGTGGAAGGAGATGTGTGGACGGTGGATGTGACAAAGAGAAGAGGCAGAGTGGGAGATCATGGGGGAAGGGAGATGCGAGCAGACGACGCCCCCCATGTAACCACGGGCCGTGCCGCTCTAAAGAAGAAGGCAATGTAGGGGACGCGCAGTATAGCCCCACTGTGTGTGTGTGTACACAGTATATCCCCGTGCGTGTGTACACAGTATAGCCCCTGTGTGTGTGTGTACACAGTATAGCCCTGTGTGTGTGTACACAGTATAGCCCCTGTGTGTGTGTGTACACAGCATAGCCCTAATGTGTGTGTGTACACAGTATAGCCCCACTGTGTGTGTGTGTACACAGTATAGCCACAGTGTGTGTGTGTACACAGTATAGCCCTGTGTGTGTGTGTGTACACAGTATAGCCCCAGTGTGTACACAGTATAGCCACAGTGTGTGTGTGTACACAGTATAGCCCTGTGTGTGTGTGTACACAGTATAGCCACAGTGTGTATGTGTACACAGTATAACCCCTGTGTGTGTACACAGTATAGCCCCTGTGTGTGTACACAGTATAGCCCTGTGTGTGTGTGTGTGTACACAGTATAGCCCCTGTGTGTGTACACAGTATAGCCCCTGTGTGTGTACACAGTATAGCCCTGTGTGTGTGTGTACACAGTATAGCCCCGTGTGTGTGTGTACACAGTATAGCCCTGTGTGTGTGTACACAATATAGCCCCGTGTGTGTGTGTACACAGTATAGCCCCTGTGTGTGTGTGTGCAAACAGTATAGCCCTAGTGTGTGTGTGTGTACACACTATAGCCACAGTGTGTGTACACAGTATAGCCACAGTGTGTGTGTGTGTACACAGTATAGCCCCGTGTGTATGTGTACACAGTATAGCCACAGTGTGTGTGTACACAGTATAGCCCTGTGTGTGTGTGTGTACACATTATAGCCCCGTGTGTGTGTACACAGTATAGCCCTGTGTGTGTACACAGTATAGCCCCACTGTGTGTGTGTACACAGTATAGCCACAGTGTGTGTGTACACAGTATAGCCATGTGTGTGTGTGTGTACACAGTATAGCCCTGTGTGTGTGTACACAGTATAGCCCCTGTGTGTGTGTGTACACAGTATAGCCCTGTGTGTGTGTACACACAGTATAGCCAGAGTGTGTGTGTGTACACACAGTATAGCCACAGTGTGTGTGTGTACACACAGTATAACCACAGTGTGTGTGTGTGTACACACAGTATAGCCACAGTGCGTGTGTGTGTACACACAGTATAACCACAGTGTGTGTGTACACACAGTATAACCCCAGTGTGGGTGTGTACACACAGTATAACCACAGTGTGTGTGTGTACACACAGTATAGCCACAGTGTGTGTGTGTACACACAGTATAACCCCAGTGTGGGTATGTACACACAGTAACCACAGTGTGTGTACACACTCACAGTATACCCCCAGTGTGTGTGTGTACACACTCACAGTATAGCCCTGTGTGTGTGTACACAGTATAGCCCCGTGTGGGTGTGTACACAGTATAGCCCCGTGTGGATGTGTACACAGTATAGCCCTGTGTGTGTGTGTACACAGTATAAACCCAGTGTGTGTGTACACAGTATAGCCCCTGTGTGTGTGTACACAGTATAACCCCGATGTGTGTGTGTACACACAGTATAGCCCTGTGTGTGTGTGTGTACACACAGTATAACCCCAATGTGTGTGTGTGTACACACAGTATAACCCCAATGTGTGTGTGTGTGTACACAGTATAGCCCCTATGTGTGTGTGTACACAGTATAACCCCAATGTGTGTGTGTACACACAGTATAACCCCAGTGTGTGTGTGTACACACTCACAGTATAACCCCAGTGTGTGTACACAGTATAACCCCAGTCTGTGTGTGTGTATACACTCACAGTATAACCCCAATGTGTGTGTGCACACTCACAGTATAACCCCAGTGTGTGTGTGTATACACTCACAGTATAACCCCAATGTGTGTGTGCACACTCACAGTATAACCCCAATGTGTGTGTGTATACACTCACAGTATAACCCCAGTGTGTGTGTGCACACTCACAGTATAACCCCAGTCTGTGTGTGTGTACACACTCACAGTATAACCCCAGTGTGTGTACACAGTATAACCCCAGTCTGTGTGTGTGTATACACTCACAGTATAACCCCAGTCTGTGTGTGTGTACACACTCACAGTATAACCCCAATGTGTGTGTGTGCACACTCACTGGGTGTACCTATCGAGCGATCTGGCGTCTAGACGTCGCGCGTGTGGCGATCTGCATCATGAGACTCGCACGCTGCAGAATGCTCCGTTCGAGGAGGAGGAGGAGGAGAAGGAGATAAGTTACGAGATAGGGTTGTGTATGCGGGCAGAAGCGAAGGACTCACTTGTAAGCGTTAAACCCAGCAGGACTCTCACCACCATCATCATCATCATCGCCATTCTCGTCATCATCTTCGGCATCACCGCCAGCAGCAGCAGTAGCATCAAAGTTGCAACGACGCCGGTTTCGAAGGCAACGGAGTCACCGACACATCGGTCCGTGATGCCTCCATCCTCGGATTTCCTTGCACGCTCGTTGCTATGTCAGAGTCTGTGCGTGTGTGCTCACGCGTGTGCATGCACACAGCACATCACTCGCGTCTACTTCAGCAGCACTGGCCGATGTCTTCCCACGGCGTGCGCAGCCATCACACCGACAGAGGCGGTGATGGAGATCCACGACGCCGATGCCGCTCTCTGCGCGCCGCTTAAATAGCCCCGCGTGGGGGGGAGCGGTGGCGCAGCGGTTGGGGCGCTGCGCCGAGGACACGCGCGCGAGTTCCTGACCCGCGCTCACGGTCAAGGGCGATCGGTGGCGATCATCTGAAGCGGTCCTGCCGCCCCCACTCCCGAGGTCGACTCAGCCGCGGATGGGTCGCTGGCGCGATGCGTGGAGGCGTCTCCACGAGACAAAGACGGCCGCGTGTGGCTCTGGTACCGTGCCGGCCTTCAAAGGTGCTGGCTAACTGCACTTGCCCTGACCGTCGGTCGAAGGCTATACGGGGGATCTTTGTATTTGTTTTCCGAGGAGCGGTGGCGCAATGGTTAGCGTGCTGCGCAACGGCGACACGAATTCGATTCCCGCTCACAGTCAACATTAGTGACGATCATCTGAAGCGATCCTCGGCCTCCCTTAGGTCGACTCAGCCGTAAACGAGTGCCCGGTGCGGTGCGTAGTCGACATTGGCACTGGAGAGACAAATGATGGTTGGGTGGGGTCCTGGCCCCACCCACCCGCTCGTGTGCCGTGCCGGCCTGCTATCGGTCGTCGCTAACAACACTTGCCCTGTCTGTTAGAGGCTATGCGGGGGAGCGTTGTCTGTGTGCTGCCCGCTGTGTGTGGACAAGGGCGGCTACGGGCGAGGCCGTTGTGCCACAGACGTGGAGGCACCGCGAGTTCACTCGGCCAAGGGATGGGGAACCCTCGGAGCGGACCGACACGGGTTGTGTTGATCCGGTTTTCGTCTGTGCAGAACAAGAAGAAAATGAAGTTTACATTCTTAGTTATCCTTTAAAGCGAGCCATACCCACGTAAGGATTGTGATCAATGCTGTGCTGCAGGCTAAACGTGATGACAGTGCAATGCCATACGGGCACACTCGTGGTCGGCTCACCATCTCGCCCCCTCGTGTGTGGCTTTTTAAAGGGGCGCCGCCGGCGGTGGCTAGGAGATGTTGACTCCCTCGCCTGGTCTACAGGAGGTCGTGGATTCGATCCCGACCCTGACGCCTGCTGCTGCTGCTGTGTATTTGAGGTGTTCGTGTCTCTCTCTCTCTACCTCCGTGGTCACTGCGTGGATTGTTCTCCGAGTCCTCCAGTTTTTCCCCTCCACGTTTAGAATCAACATCAGGCGTCTATGTGGACATTTCCACATGAGCCACTTCATCTGGCTGTAATTTATGTAGCCAGGTCGCTTCTGAAAACAGTGGGCCTTACCTGGTAGAATAATAACAATATTTAGTTTAGCTTTTTAAACGATTGTTTGGCCACATGATTATTATTTTAATGAATACTCTTCACCGTAAATCTCGCCCCAGAGTGACTGCCGTGATCAATATGCCGTTATACATCTTTGTGATTCGATTACAAACATATTTCCCATGAGACGTCACATTCCTCCGGATTGCTAAATAACGAGGGAACAAGCCGAGGGACAATGAGGAAGTCTTCAGTTTATTCGGGGGTTGTTTTGACCGCACACAGCAATGTGAGCATGCTGTGAGTATAGACTCACAGCATATTATGAAACAAACAACAATACATTTGAGACTTATTTCATTTCCAGAATTGCAACAAATTATACAGCTCTTGGAATTCATATTAGTAAGGATTCACCGTCGTCTTATACAGTTAATCTTCTATTGACTTACCACGCACTCCCCTACCTCTCCCCTCTCATCTCACTCCACTCCCCTCCACGCACTCTCCTGCCTCTCCCCTCTCATCTCACTCCACTCCCCTCCACGCACTCCCCTGCCTCTCCCCTCTCATCTCACTCCACTCCCTCTCCTACCTCTCCCCTCTCATCTCACTCCACTCCCCTCCACACACTCTCCTACCTCTCCCTTCTCATCTCACTCCACTCCCCTCCACGCAGTCTCCTACCTCTCTCCTCTCATCTCACTCTACTCCCCTCCACGCACTCTCCTACCTCTCCCCTCTCATCTCACTCCCTCTCCTACCTCTCCCCTCTCATCTCACTCCCCTCCGCGCACTCTCCTACCTCTCCTCTCTCATCTCACTCCACTCCCTCTCCTACCTCTCCCCTCTCATCTCACTCCACTCCACTCCCCACTATAATGAAGCCCCCAGGCAACCTTCACTCAGTGGGTGGTCATTAATTCTCCTTTACTGATCCCAGAGTCTGAAACTGCCTCTCGCCAGCCCTCCGTGCTGTCAACCCCCTCTGCCTATTCAAGTCAAAACCTCAATGTGATTTCTTGGCCCGAATATTTAAAAAGCCCACGTTTTTGTACTTGTTTTTTACGCAAACAAAACTAGAGCGATGCAAATGAGATTGTATAAGTCGCCGTTGTTATACGTTTTACAGCAGTTGGCTCAGCGGTCTGGAAGTTGTTTGTGCATGATACAAAGTTCTATTCTCACGCTATGATGACAGCAGCAGAAGCAGCAGAAGCAGCAACGCGTTCACGAGGAGTTGGAGACCATTAGCGCAGCAGCAACAGCAACGCGTTCACGAGGAGTTGGAGGCCATTAGCTCAGCAGCAGCAGCAGCAACGCGTTCACGAGGAGTTGGAGACCATTAGCGCAGCAGCAGCAGCAACGCGTTCACGAGGAGTTGGAGACCATTAGCTCAGCAGCAGCAGCAGCAACGCGTTCACGAGGAGTTGGAGACCATTAGCGCAGCAGCAGCATCGCGTTCACGAGGAGTTGGAGACCATTAGCGCAGCAGCAGCCCCCACCACAAGCGGGAGGCTCCTGCAGAGGGAGGGAGTTCGTGAAGTTTAGGCGAAATGGGCGTCGTTAATTTGAAAATGCGTAATAATGTCATGGTAATGGACACCAATAAATAACCTAACAGCTCCCTTAGAAACCCTTGGAAAATATTAACTCAGCATAAGCATTATGCATCTGGAATTATTCCCAGTACATTGCACATGTTCATATAAGGAGTTTAAACATCCACAGGTTTCTATCTAATGGAGAATGAATTATTGTAATAATCTGTGCCTCTCCTTTTAAAAAAATACTAAGCATCAAACCCTTCTCAGGCTACAGTATAAGCATTCGAACGCTGCACATCACTGTCCAACACGTATCGCGTGAGAACGTTTACTTGTAGTCCTGTATACAGCGTACTCTACATTTACTAGATAACACGGGGAATATGGCAACGCAGTCGTCAAAACGGGGATAATCACACAATATATTTTCTAAAATAAGGACTGTATCAATAATGTACCATACAGAACGAAAGACAAAGATTCCCCATATAGACTTGAACAGACTGTTGGGGCAAGTGCTATGAAGGCCGTCATGGTACACGCAGGGCGGGTGGCCAACACCACGCCCGGCCGCCTTTGTCTCCCTAGTACCTATGTATACACACCACACCAGGGACGACCGATGAGAGGCCCAGGACCGGTTCAGATAATTATCATCACCGATGTGGGCCGTGAGCGAGAATCGAACTCGGGTGTCCGGGTTCGTAGCGCGGCGCGCTAACCGCTGCACCACCGCTCCCCGCTACAGGCCAGCCCATGCTCACGCTGACACCGATTCTCTGGGGACCAAGGAGAGCTCCCGCGACTGGCCCGCCCATGTGCAGCCACGTGGAGCCGTACAGGCATCGCCGGGTGAGGTTCCAGGGTTGTTGATTGCTCGCGAGCGCAATCAGCGGTTATGGATTACGGGCATATGGGACCCAGCAGGTCTGGAATCCAGAGAAAGCGTCCTTGCTATTGCTACGCTCTTCTTGTGTTTTATATGCTTGGTAGTTATACGTTAGGCTCATCTGCGCTGAGTTGTATAATTGAAACGTACTAATGTATAGCCAGGGTGGAGTTTCTCACTCGATATTCTTCAGAAGGCTGCTCGTCTCGCTTGGACGTCGGGATTATTGGAGTAAGACACTAACTACCACTCGACTACAAGGCACGCCATTACATTATAGTAATAATACTACATCATTGTACCATGTATTCATATGGTCATACGAACAGATGTAGCGTGCCAAATTAATTACCGTAACGCCGTGCCGGATTGTTCCGGCTGAAATGAAGTACAGTATCGGTGCCGTCTGTTGAACTTCTTTCCTACCGCACGTAGCCAAGCGTGATAATCAGAGGTGTGGGTCGGTCATGGGGGTTTTTTGTCCATACTTCACGCTGGTAAACGTGGGGTTTGATACCCCTTATCCATCGATGGGAATCGAACCAAGATGGTGGTCACCACACCGCGCACTTTCAGACGCGCTTCTGCGGCCGTCTGGAACGTTCTTCTTTCAGATATATATTAGGAAGCCACTGGAGCTATGCACTTTTAAATAATTTAGATTCCAATTTCATTCTTTAGAATATATTTTTTGTGTTTAGTTTGTTGTCCTTTCCCTGCACATCCGATTAGCACGTCTGGTTATGTACGGTGCGAAAGAAGTTCAACATACCTATTTTAGCGCGGATTCGATGAGCGCTCACTTCTTCAAGAAGCGAGGTGGATGGGGTGGAGGTGGAGGGGGTGGAGGTGGTGGATGTGGAGGGGGTGGAGGAGGTGGAGGGGGTGGTGGAGGTGGAGAGGGTGGAGGGGTCACGTTTGAATTCTCTGCGCGCGTTGTGGGAGTTGGGGGCTCGATTCGTAAACGCCTCCTCGTGCTCCGTGATGGAGACAACGCACCACCAACACCACCACTAACACCACCAACACCACCAACACCACCACTAACACCACCACTAACACCACCAACACCACCACCAACACCACCACTAACACCACCACTAACACCACCACTAACACCACCACCAACACCACCACTAACACCACCACTAACACCACCACTAACACCACCACCACCACTAACACCACCACTAACACCACCAACACCACCACCAACACCACCACTAACACCACCACCAACACCTCCACTAACACTACCACTAACACCACCACTAACACCATCACTAACACCACCAAGACCACCACTAACACCACCACTAACACCACCACTAACACCACCACTAACACCACCAACACCACCACTAATACCACCACTAACACCACTACTAACAACACCACCAACACCACCACTAACACCACCACTAACATCACCACTACCACCACCACTAACACCACCAACACCACCACTAACACCACCACTAACACCACCAACACCTCTAACATCACCACTAACACCACCACTAACACCACCACCACTAACACCACCACTAACACCACCACCACCACTAACACCACCACCACTAACACCACCACCACCACTAACACCACCACTAACACCACC